CAAAACTCATAAAACTCATATACTCAAAACTCATAAAACTCATATACTCAAAACTCATACTCAAAACTCGTATACTCAAAACTCATATACTCAAAACTCATATACTCAAAACTCAATACTCAAAACTCATACTCAAAACTCATATACTCAAAACTCATACTCAAAACTCATATACTCAAAACTCATATACTCAAAACTCATATACTCAAAACTCATAAAACTCATATACTCAAAACTCATACTCAAAACTCGTATACTCAAAACTCATATACTCAAAACTCGTATACTCAAAACTCGTATACTCGTATACTCGAAACTCGTATACTCAAAACTCGTATACTCAAAACTCGTATACTCAAAACTCGTATACTCAAAACTCGTATACTCAAAATTCGTATACTCAAAACTCGTATACTCAAAACTCAACAGTGGGTTTAAATGTTAACCGTGAACTGTCTTTGCCAGTGTAGGTAGTGGCGTAGTGCGGCTAGTGCCTATAAAATGAACAAGCTTTCGTTGGTAGAGATGCAACTACCCGAAAAATACAGTATAAGGAGAATTTGGACGTTTCGAGCGAAGGCCCTTGGTGTGGAGTTACTGTTAAATTTTAACCGAGAGTTTAAACAACCGGCTTCTGACTTCTATACGTTTTTGTTAAACCGTAACTGAATAAGGTTAAAAAATGCAAAGGAGATCACAGGAATGTTACACACGCAAAAATCTCGCATCTTGTAGCAAGTCTGCAGACAAGCCGTCAACAAGTTGTGTTCGCACTGCTTGTCCCAAGTTGTCAACAAATTTGAAACAAGCTGTTAACAACTTGTAACAACCTTGTTGATATTATCAGACTTGTTGCAGGGTTGTTCCAACGAGTCCGATACAGTCGTGATATAACAATATTGTTACAATCTTGTATCGTCAACCTTGTAACATTCTTGTTATATCGTGACTGTATCAGACTTGTTAGAACAACGTTGTAACAAGTCTGATAATGCCATCAAGCTTGTTACAAGTTGTGTTAACAGGTAAAATTCAAAACGGCAAAAGCGTGGAAGTGCGTTTTGCGAAATGGTACGACCAAAATTTTGCGGTTGAATTTTTGCTTACAGTACATTTGAAAATATGGCTGTATAGCAACCTCGACATGTTTACATGAGTATTTTCTTGTGAGCTCACAAATCAATGAAATCGTTTCAAGAAATCGAGACGCGCTAACAGTAGAAGTTCCGCTAATAATCGCTATTCGAAAAGCAGAAAATGTATGGTCAAGCAGGGTTGGTAAGTTCGATGAATAATTAGGCCAAATCGCATTAGTGCCGTTTAGAAAACAAAGAAAACGGAAGGCCAAGACAAAGAAAACAAAAGGCCTAGTGTGACGGTGTTTGACCTAATTATTCAGAGCAAACCTACCAACCCTGTGGTCAAGCAGATTCATAGGGTGGTGCTGGACTTCTTTTGGATGGGGAGGGGGGGGGGGGTTAGACACCACTAGGTGTGGTGCGCACCCTTCGGTATATCCGCCCCTGAAATTGTGCACGATTCTTCGTGTTTAAAACGAGCTACACGACGCTAATTTCGTGCGTGTTTCATTACTTTCGTTCGTTTCGCCTGGTTTTGCGTGATCTCGCACAATAGACAGTCCCATGATGCAGTGGGAAAAAGAACTTCGCATGGAATTTTAAATTGAAAGTAATTGTTCTTTTGCCAAAAAAATCTCAATTTCCTAGCAAGATTTTGTTCTGAAACTACAATTCTTTATAAACCTCTGGAACCAGGGTAACAATTCTTCAATTAAAATTCACTCTTTTGAATGACAATGGACCATAGATATCTTCAATGGACAGACAGCGCCATGGTTTGTTAACGGTGCTCTGTGGCCTTTATAAACGGTTTAAAAAGACAAGTGTACTGGCAACAATTTATATGTTTGAAATATTAAATTCCATGATTACAAATGGACAGACAGCACCATGGTTTGTTAACGTACGGTGCTCTGTGGGGGATGTTTTATAAACAGTTTAAAAAGACAAGTGTAATGGCGAGAATTTTATATGTTTGAAATAACATTCCATGATTACTGGAAGAATGTTTATGTGTTTTCTTGGAATACTGATACAGCATATGTGGATACATGGTACAAAACTGGGGGGAATAAGAGATGCAATGAAAAGCCAAAAAGGTTAGTCACTTTATGATGATACTTGTTGTAAATTCTATCCAGTTATAAATATAACTAACGATTACTGGGGGTGGGGTGGGGGGACAAAAAAAAAACAAAAGAAAAAATGATTTGTGGGAAAGCAACAAAAACTAAGTGTAAACAGGCTTTAAGGGGCTGTTTACGTGGTCCCGCTTACCCGGGATTCAATGAAGTGTGACATATTTTGAACAATTGAAATAAGTTGCACTTCATGATCTAACAAAATTGCTTGTTACAAATTGTATGAAATTCCATGTTTTAGACAAAAAAAATGTTGAATGCTATTAATTGTCTTCTTCCACTAAGTAACTTCTAGCGTGTTGCTAATTTTGTTTAAGTTATCTAACTTTTGTTTATGGCTGAAAAACGTATTTCAATTGCTCAAAATACTTCACACTTCATTGAATCCCAGGTAAGTGGGACCATATAAACAGCCCCTAAAAATTGCCCCACACAAGAGAAACTTGCTGAGCTAATCGCCTTGCCTGGTGGCTAGCTCAGCTATGCATTTTCACCGCCCACATTGGGAAAACTACTCGACTGTTGATAACATGTTTGCATTTCCCTCTATTGTCACCATTTTGACCAAACACAATAGATATTTTCCTCAAGAGGTTAATTCCTCACGAAAGCTGTCCGCACATGCAAGAAAACGAAAACTGTCCCCACACGAGTGAAACATGCTGAGCTAGATGCCACCTGAGGTGACTTCTCTCTGGTGTGGGAGGTGTTAATTATATAGTGTTATAATCTGACTTGACCTCTTGGCAAAAAGGTCAAGTTGTCAAATTCCCCTACAGTAATTACGTAAATGATCAAAAATAGAGTAATTACACTTTGTTGCAGGAAACTAGGGTTTATTTTATGTAAACGTTTCAAGATGTCTTATTTTTATTGGCAAGTTTATATATCACATTGGCTATAATACCTGAACGCTCTTTGCCAGCTCGTAGTGTGATAATAGTGTCCTTAACCACATAGGACGGTGATTGATGTTGTAAATAGAGCGACGGCGGCGTCTAAAACTCCAGTGCGATTTTAATTGTTAATTTCTGCTCATTTTCTTGCATTATTATTATCTTAATAGCCGTCGTTGTTGCACTTTCGTTCTGCTTGTTGAAGTTCTTAATAACAGTAGTTCTTTATAATTATAAAAGTGAAATATTTAAGGCTGTTTCTTGTCACATCTCTGTAGTAGATCAAGCCTTGCTTAAGTTTGCTAAGTACTATTTAAAACATGAACAGCAGTGTTTATCAAATATAAAGGTATACGAGGCGAAGCCAAGTATCTTTAGATCTGATAAAACAATAAAACATGCACTGCAAATGTTTTAAATTGCTTCAAAAACGATCAATCTAGTAAGTTTGTTGGCGAAGTAATTTTCAAAAAATATGTTGTGTAAGTCGAGGAAATCAAAGTTAAAGTTTATGTAAATCAAGGGAAATCCCTATCACATATAAAGGTATGACACGCTTATGATTTTTCTTTGTGTTTTCCTCATGAATTAATAAGTTTTTGAATAACACCAGGAAGCTACGGTTAGGAGGGACCTGACATCAGTTCAGGATGTCTTGTTTGTATATCACATTCTTAATCTGCAGCTACTATAATGCTAGACTTGCTCCAAGTCTCTCTTTCATTGTCATATAGTATCAATCCACTATAGTGTAATCATGATGTAGCACGGAGAGGCGGAGCGAGGAAGAGATCATCAACTTCGGAAAATCTCGGTTCAAAACTGAACCGAAAATGCAAGACATTGTTGACCAGTGTTTATATGTATTGATCTAGCACAGTGTAAATAACATTAGTTCCATTATAGTAAATATACAGAAAGAAATTGAAGGAAACAATTAAAGCAAGTCTTGCATTTTCGGTTCAGTTTTGAACTGAGATTTTCCGAAGTTGACAAGTCTCTCTTTCTCGCTCCGCCCCTCCGTACTACGTCATGTAATGTACACTATAGTGGATTGATAGTCGATACTATATGACAATGAAAGAGAGACTTGGAGCAAGTCTACTATAATGCCTGCCTTGCATGGAATGCAAACAGAAGTTCATCCGAATTTGATATTGACATGTGCTACTGTTAAATGCTACCAATTTCTAAAAAATAAACATACAAACATACACTGTTCAAGGCTTTATTTGTTCAAAATGCCAGCGACACTCACATTCAGAAAATAAAGCAGCCATGTTTACATATACAGTAACTACATACATTATTAAAACAATATGTTTTTTGTTTTCGAATATATTATGGTATATCTTTATTTAAAAGACACTCGTCATGCATCCTCTTAACCCTTTAGGTGGCAATGCACCCTACTTTAGTATTTTACTCTGTCTAACGCCTGACGATTTTACTCGTCAAGTAGAGTGGTCTGCCACTCAATGGGTAAATTGTGTACATTGAGCACACACTCGCATCAGAGACTTGGAACAATGTGTCTACATTTGCTTGTAAAGTAATATATATTACTCCAGTTACATACGGAGGCCACCGGTAACATATATGTGCTAACCATAAAACCACTTCTATACTGACCACAAAATTCATATCTTTAATATTATATGTAGATACAGTCATTTGCAGACAGTAAAAACAGCGAGGCTGCCGATGCCTAAAGCTGTCGTTATAAGAGCGTTTTTCCACCAGCCACTGCTGTTTTCGCCAAGATCTCGGAAACGGTTGTTTAATCCACTCTAAAAATGAGCACGAAAATGTCAGCGTTAAAATTTAATCCGGGTCAAAGATTCCCCATTTCATAAATAATATATAAGCTTAAAAATTTCAAGTGAATTAATTTCAATTTCTCAGTGATTGCTCTGAACATCAATTTGGTCAATCGTTTTGTCACATTGGTTTAAATAGTTTCTCTCTCATTCTTGCAAAACTTAGTCTCTAACCAGTCTTTATCATTGCAATTTAAGCGAGGTCAGAAATGAACAGCATTATTTAATGCGGGGCAATAATACAGGGTTTACCTCAGAGCAGATTTTATCTATAAGTTTAACCAAATAAATAACTCTTTTCCTTCTTTTAATAATTGTGACTTGTTTATGTATAATTATCAAAATTTGTTAGAACATCGAAAAAATACTTAGATACCAATTGATGTCTTTTATTGCAATAAGCCAATAACATAACTAATATAATCTGATTTTTAACCGAGTCTTGCCATGAAGCTAATATGTTTTGCATTCTATTTATCAGACTATCAGTATTTGTAGCTCTCTTTGAATAAAGTTTGTTTGTTTGTATATCAAATTTGCAAAGGAAGTTATTACTCAGAATTTAATATACTGTACCAACTATGATTTTTCAATTGAAATTCTGTAATTTGTTTGAGGGATATAGCTCAAATGAATTGCTATGCAAGTGAAATAGTTTCAAACGAATGCAATGTACTGTGCAACTTTTCTCTTTTGAGTTTTGAAACTAACCAAAACATGAGTTGGTTTTCAGAATTATATTGGACTCTGCTGGGCCACTCTGCCCTTAACTATCAATATTCCTGTTTCTGCTCCCAAAACGTGGTTTTTGACAAGGATAAACAACTAACTTTTCTTCTAAAACATTAACCTTTGTTCATAATATCAGATTCAGATTCATTTTCTCAATATCAGATTCAGATAATTCATTTTCTCAATTCACTTTCCAAAGGTACAAAATCCTTACATTGGCAAATATAAAGAAATTTACACCTTTTTATAATCTTGAACAATTTTGACGATATTGCGTTTCTGTTTTGCAGCTGCCTACTCCTTCCCTTGGGGGTTGTGGGTGAGAAATGAACCAATGGGACCAGTCCCAGCTGGGGTCATCTGATAACATTTTATTTGCCAATTGAATGCGCGGTTATAAATAACAGTTGAACGTCAGAAAGTTAATTTTATCCATAAAACTTAATTCCCCAAGTATATCGGACAATTTTCTTTGTAAAAAAACAAAGTATAGGAAATGATAACTGCTCCTTACAGTTAACAAAATTTGAGAAGGAATAAATTCAGGCAAAAGTTGCAAATTGTACCTAAAAGTTACAAATTATTGATCATTATTAAAAATTTATTGTATAAGTAATAAAAAAAATGTGTGAGTAAATTTTCAAATATTCATCAATGAACGACCACAGAATAGTACGCATTTGTTACGCTGCAATTTTACACCGAAGCGGAAATTCCAAAAAATCATTTTGCCAAGCTTTGCGAAATTCCTCACATTCCAAATGCTAATCCCTTTTGTCCATGGCGTGCCATATTTACACAAAGACTGTGGGAAATTGGCGAATTTCAGAAATAAACTGTTTCGTAGTCGAGAAATTCTGCTTCGAATTCATGAATGGCGCTTCGTCGTACAGCAAAAGATCGAATATTTGAAAAAATGTTTGAAATTCGATCGTCATTCACAATTCCGTGCTTGTCGGTGCGCGCAGCGGAAATTTGCCAAATGTAGAATTCGCTCGAAAGTATTCGAACATCACTCGCATTTTTGCTATTGAAATTCGGCCAAAACGAGGACTGTGCTAGAATCGCTTATAATGTTGTGTCTTGTGCAAAAATCTCTGTGAGATTTCAAAATTACGATCGTACAAGTACAAATTTTTCTCGACAAGGCTACACACGATATGTAAACAAACGCAATAATCATGTGATATTTAAAGATTTTTGTTGTGCGCGCTATAAAAAACGATCGAGTTCTCGTTGACAAATTCCCTTGCTATGTTCGGCGTAATGCATTTTTCCTTAACAAAAGCCTTGTGGAACAGGTAGTTGTGTTTTCACGGCTTTTGAAGCAGAAAATTTGGGTGTAATGATGTATAATGAATACGGAAAATTGCTTGTGTTTTGGTATCGAGTCTCTGTTGACTCGCGAAGCATTTGATTTACTTTAAGAACAAAAAAATAGGTACTCCCTACCCATCCGCCTTGAGATTCGATCCAGCCTAATTCAGTGACAAACGTCGCTGTCCATTGTGTTAAATTTTCTATCTCATCACTCATGTTATTTTCATTACAATATTTTCCAAGTTTAGCACAGAACGCGTATAGTACAGCTATCCTTCCCCAATTTATAATTCCATCTCCGAACACCTCTTTCGCAATCTCGCAAAAAGAACTATACCCCGTTTCTTTGGAGAAATTTAATTTCGAACATAACCGTTCCAACAGATCTGGGTTCCTCAGTTCGATGTCGTCCGAAAGTTTCCGCAGAGTCTTAGCGGTCGCATTAGCTGGTGGCAAGTTTCTTCCGAGTTTGTAATTTATAAGATCCTTTGCCAACAGTCTCCCCTCGTCAAATAGAGGCGATCTTGGTGATGTATGTTCACAAAAGCCGTTCGCCACAGCCATGTACTGTATTAAAACCTTCAGAAATCGCTCGTAAAAGCCCGTAAATAGTGTTGTAAAAGACTCCGTGTTTATATATTAAGTGCAACAATATACCGCCATTCTTGAAATATTGAAATAGAGCTACCTTAAAATAAAAATGTCCAGTTCTCAAATTCAGTTATGTCTTTCGTCCATCGGCTATTCTCGTGACACAGGCCAAAAACCAAAATGGCGGATCCTTGGACAAAATGTTGTCAATTGGGGGGACAAGTTCGTCGTTCGTCCTTAATTCGATTCTTCGGTGGACAAGAATGAATCTGCTGGTGGAGAGATTATTCATTTTTTCTCTTTATTTTTGTCGATGAGTGAATGATGTACACGCATTCTGATTGGTTCGAAATGACGAGATACACATCACGTGGGTGCCACGTGAAAAAAAGACGTGCGTCATCCGTTCGGAGGTCGCTGCGCTCTGATTGGTCCAAAACTTTGATTGTTCTCCTCTTGGCAGAACAACGAAATACTTTTGAATCATAATATCACAAACCGAGGATACAGTAGCTGTACAAGTCTAGACGCAAGCTCGAACGTTACATCGGACAACAACAGGCGAAATTGTCCGTATTTAGATCGAGTTGTCGTCGCAGAATAGACAAATTGCGTCGAACAGCCGTAAAAGAAGTGTATTTAATTGCCGAGGTGTACATTTGCCGAAACTTCGCCGGCAAGAGCTGCAGTTTGAACGTTTTATATACGTGTCCAGAGACAACAAGGTGAGTCCTTGAATTAAAAACATTGCACTTTATAAACTTGTTAAGGAATGCTTGACTAGAGTTTACGAGTTTATTACAAGTAAATGTACGTGTTTGCAGAGCGTGGCCACAATATAGCGCTCGGCCAACGCTGTTTTGTTTTGCAAATACTTGTTAAATCGCTAAATATTATCGGCTCGCGCGTGACGCAGTTTAAACTGATTGTTAATTTTTTTTCAGATTATGGAGGAGCGAGAAAAAACAGAGCAAAACAATCGGGATCAGAGCCACGACCAAGAAAGAACCCAACCGGCGTCGAGCGATACTAATTTGAGCGATGTCGTAGGACAAATGCCATCCAGAGTCGCCAACGTCGCGTGCGCCGCTATTCAAAGGCGACCAACACAAACGGATCAAACGTTTATGACCCCGCAAGAAATCGGACTTATTCTGCGACAAATAGGAGACGAAATGGACAAATTGGCAAGCGGAGGAACGGGAAATCGGACAGAGAAGCGAGGCTAAATCAAGATATCATGGTTCAAACGGTAAACTAAAATGACGACATCAGATTTTTCCCGCGACCTGAGTTGAACCGCGCGAAAGTGTTACACGCTTATCATTAAGTTTCGCTTCCGCGACCCCTAATAGACTTCCCCTGCTAGGTAAACTAAGTCTGTCATGGCATTCGGGGAAAAACGCTACAAAGTTTGCTTTGTTACATGGCGAGGCAAAGTTTCCGCGTTTTTCGCCTGAGTGCGCGCATCGTATTAAAAAAGTGTTCCGTGTTCAGTTTTTTTTTTGTTAATATGTGAAGACGGTGTTTGTATAAATTGAATATATATTTCCCTAGGTGGAGATATACTTTAATATGCCCATATTGGGCGGCCTAAAGGCTGTGTAAATGGATATTAATATGAAAATGTTGTTATCAGCAAAATTGTACATAAACAATGGAGCCTGAATTTGTAAATAGTTTGTACTATATGAACAATGGTTTGGAACTTTTGTACCGGTATATAAATTTAGCTCCATTTGTGAATAGACTGTACATTTTCTAGTGTAGGTGATAGTTGGAGGCTTCGTAATATGTAAAGTTGATTCGTATTAAAAGATCATTTCGTTACGCGCCGTCTGCAGCTGCAGTTTTGAAAACCAGCCAATTTTGATCACTCTTGAATGTTTAATTGTTTCTAATGCCAACGGCTCGTGGCGTACAATGGCGTCGCGCGTTCTTCATTGTGCCGTGTGTTGTTTTGACGCGTTATGGATGGAAATTTACATCGAAAACTAAAAGTGCGCAATCTTGCGTGGCGCGAGACAAAGGCTTCGTAATGAACAGCTGTTATTTTCCATTGCTTTGGCTATATTTCCGGCGCGTGCTTTGGGGATTCCCTGAGTAAACCTGCCCAAACGTGCCTGCGCTTTCGTCTAGCACTTGCATCAGTAGCAATAATATAATGCCCTTTCAATTGTGATACTGTAAATGGCCTCGCGTCCGACCATAGACGAAGTAATGTTCTTGTCAATCTGCGGTGAAAGGTCTATAGTATATCTGAAACGTGGCAGACAGAACTGAGATCAAATCCAATTGTGTCTGCGCTTTTGAACGATCGATAAACACTGAATTAAATACGTTGGTGTTGTGATAAATGGCACGATTTATATCGGTTTGAATGAACTTTCTGAACAAGATAGTTGTTGTTTTTTTTAATTCGTGTGCGTTAAAGCGCGGTAACAAATCATGATGGGTAGTTGAAGATCAAACCTTAATGCCCAACGGCAACACTTTGTATTTAATATTGCTCTCTTGACTCGTGCTTCTGTTAAATGGCTACTAGCGTTTATACTAGAGATGGAATATCTGTCTAGATGAACTTTCGCAAAGAAAAGATAGTTCGTCTCGTAATCCACCTGCGTAATTAATAGCGCGCCAAACAGACGACAGTCCGCTGTCAAGATCAAACTTGCTTGCGCAATTACCAAACAGATGTATGATAATGTATCATGCACTTTCAAGTTTCAAATGTGATAAATGACTCGAATTATACCAGAGACGGAATATCTGTCTGGATTAACAGGGTTAAAAAACATAATTCGTCTGCTAAGCCATTGCTTTTACGTTGGACAGCAAACAAACAAACGATCCATCGAGATCAAACTTGCCTGAACAATTCTCGAACACCTGTTCAGATTCGACACATGCTTTCACGATTCTGACCGCAATGGAATTGCCATATAATTAATAACTGTAAACTAAAATATTGGCAACACAAAGCCTTGAATAATTGTACGTTATTTCAGAGCCATGTGTTAATATATTATATACAAATCTAATCTGGGAACAGTCTACAACAGAAATTCGTATAAACCGTTATAGACTGTTCACAAGGCCGATCAGAGATCAAACTCGGTTCACGCCTTGTCGGGGTCGGCCTGTTTACTGACAATCGATAAGGAGACTGTATCGTTCGCCGTAGTAAGTGTGTTTAAATTAATAAATTATTTTTTCAAATCAGTCCAAAGCCAGATTTAAAACTGTATATTCAGCGGATCACGAATAATGGTAAACGGATCCTCCATAAGTCATTTATGTCTGACAATATACAACTGGTTTACTATAAATATGTGGCGTCATTACCAACAAGCCAAAGTCTTATTAGCCTTGGGTATATTTGTCAATCTCATATCTGACAAGTGAATCGAAACATAACATGACTATGAGCTCTTGAAAGTATTTGATTGGCTGGCATCCTTGCGGTTTTGGAAGCGTGCCACTATTGTCTTTCTTGGTCAAGTTCATTACTTCTTGACTGCTTAATTAATATAGTCAGCGACCGCTTATCGCTTTTTGATTCGCCTAGCTAGCGGCAGATATCGGCATGATTCTTTTGAAATTTGAGAAAGGGTTGAAATTGACCGCCGTAACCTGTCGTACGCTGATGAATAAGGTACATATTTGAGTTCAATTTAGTAAAGAAACGTGCAAAAATAGAATGCAAATTTTATGTTTGCCTTGCTGATGGAATGTAATATGTTTGTTTTGAATTGCTTTTCTGGCTTATGAGTACAAATTAAGTATGTTTTTAAGAATTAAGATATTTTACTTGTCGTTGATAACGTTATCTCTTGATATACGTTATAATGAATTCCGTCGCGCTATGATTGACGGCCCGTGCCTTAATCCTTTGTGGACAGTAGGAATGAATTTTGCAAGGCAAATTCTACGTTTTGAAGGATTTGTAAGAAATGTTTGAGGAAACTGATGAACATTGACTTTGATAGTGTAAACTGTAGGCTTAATCCATACACATACAAAATGCGAACTAGTTGAGAAGATTTATGACTTATTTATTCATTATTTCAATTCTGTTATTCATTCCAGATTTTTGCCATGGCTGAAACTTCTCTTCGTATAACATTAGTTTCAGTAGGTTTTAAAAGACCGCAAAACGGTTTAGGTTAATGTGTCGCCGCCATTTTTATCGGTTTCGTATAGCAGCTGTGTGAAAATGAACCACAGAACGGCAAAGGGCCGACCTCAATATCAGTAAAATAGACAGACAGTACGACACTTTGGCTATAGCGGCAATGACGTAACCAAGTGCGGGGGGGGGGGCAAGGGCAGTCCCTTGTTGAAAAGCTGAAATATACTGCGGGCAGAATTGGGGGGGGGGGGGGAATAATGATTCCCATCTCTTCTGATTTTATAAGGTTTTCCCTATCTAGAATCCTAACGCCAGTAAAAAAATGCTTATATGGTGGTTGAGAGCACCGTTGAACTTGAATTTACGCGCACGGAAAAGCAGTCAAATACAATATGATTCCACTTCAAAATCGAAGATATCCGGTGCTATTTTGCTGTTCTATTTGTGTGTACAGTACAATGTTTCACATAATCTCACATAATCTCACATACACGGCGAAAACAAGGTTCTCTTTCAGCTTTTAATTAAAGCCTAGCTTGTTTATACACTGATCAAAGTTTCTTTGATCCGGCAGTAGCAATTTCACATGGATGAATTCGGCTACGTTTTGAAGGATTTGTAAGAAATGTTTGAGGAGACTCGGATTCGTTGTTTAATACCGAGTCAGTTTCCTCAAAGATTTCTTACAAATCCTAATTCAAAACGTACAATCAGCTACCTTTGCAAAATTCCCACTGTGGTCGAAGAAACTTTGACGTATTTGATTATGTAAACCAGCCTTAACTGACGCAATATACACTGGGCGCTTTCCATTTAATGGCCTGACCGGTCAGACCCGAATTCTTTTCTCTGATATCAAGGGAAAGATCTGGTCTATGTTTCTCAAATATGTAGCGAAAATGGACCTCATTCTAATGTTATCTAAATTTTCCGGTCGGATAGCTCCGAAGCCCAAGTATTTTGTGTTCCATTCAAAAATTTGACCGTTCTGCATGACCGGTCTGGCCGAGTTTGAATGGAAAGCGCCCACTGATTCGAAAAGTAGTTATTAAGTCTCCTGAAATAAAATTCAACCAACGGGTAATCACTGCGGTCGAATTATAGAATACTAGTCAAAAGCAACAGTTTTACAAAGTATAAATATAATACCATGTATTCTCTTTGAGAAATTAAGTGTTTAAAACACCGACGTTTTAATATGGCAGGATACTATTTAGAAAACAAGCCTGACTAATATCGTTGTGGTGCTTTTTGCTTATTTCAAAGTGCTATCAATATGGCTTGCAAGAATTGTTTACAATCTTTAACTGTTATATATGGCTTTGCCTAATACCTTAATTAATATCCATTCTCTGTTCAAAAATTGTTGTATTAGCCTAGCAATAGTGACAGTTTAATTGGTCTGTGACTATGTGTCATTCACTATTGATAATTTAAAAATCTTTTTAGGGAAATGATCTCAGATCCGTTTTCGAACCAAATAGTCAAGGAGGCTTTCAATCTTAAATTGGTTGCCAATTCCCTTTACTGAAAGACGTCTTAAAGGAGAATTACATGCATAGCGCGACGAATTTGCTAGAAACCACTTTATGATCAATATCGCACAGGAAATATTGATGAGTGCACAATATATATAATGATCTTTAATATGTCCAATTTCAGACAATTTCATCATCAATATTGCCAGCTAAGCTGAATCCTTGATTTAATTAACCTTGGCCAAATCGGACTGAACCTAATACTTATAGGTTTTTCATGAGCCGATTCTGATCAAATTAAATACGGCGCAAGTTCGGCAATCTGATTTAGACACCGCCTTTCTATCGTACTTGATCATTGTTTTTGGGTCGGGGCATGAAAAGTTCGCTGTTTAAACCGGGCCATATCAGTTGCGTCTCAACTAATATTCAGACAGTTTTGTAATATATTTGCAGATATAAGCGAAATCCTTTATTATCAAACCCAGGCCGCAGTCTTTTGATTCATAATCCTTTACCTGCTGACCATTTTAAGAAATAGATGAAAAACATACTCGAAATGCCATCTTGTAAACACAAGATCTGGGTTATTTAAAGAAAACAAGACGCAAATTATGGTGGTGATATTTCAGGGTCATTGTCAAACCAAGTGAATTATTTACAGGCGTGGCGTGCTCAGATCTCATTTGCCGAGTCTAGCAGACATTTGCCGAATCTGTGATGAATTGGGGGGGGGGGGGCGGCGTTACACCCCACACCCCCTCTAATTACGCCCCTGTCAGATCTTTATAACGGAGAAGAATCAACTAGAAACTGAAGTCAGAATATTCCTATTTCTTATAAAGATCTGAGCACGTTTGTAAATAATTAGTTTAGTTTGACAAAACCATCCTGTTGCTCCTTATAAAGATCAGTGAGCACGCTTGTGAATAGTCAGTTTGGTTTCACAATGACCCTGAAACAGAGTCGAAATATCACCATCATAGAGATGGCATTGTTATTCGCAGTTGATTGATTCATCTACTGAAGAGTTAAGTCAGTTGTTTGAAATGTATGTATTCCATGGTAAACAAATTAGAGGCAATGAAAGATAGATAATCCCAAACTGAGGAGTTAGTACTTGAAATAGCGCCAAACAGACAAATTTGATTATTGCTGCCTAAGCGAAATCCTTTATTCTTGCTGTGTGCGCAAATTACGTCATCGACGCCATAAGCATTTGACAAAGGCTTTTCTGCTTGTTTGTAATTCAAAAAAAAAATAAGCAAAAAACAGCCGACACTCGACGCAGTTACATGCTAAGCAGATTACAGTGAATGATTCCTGCATGCCAAAAAGAGGAAACAGCACACGAAATTTTCAAATTAAGCTCTTATAAACAACGAACCGTATAACGAGCCTTATACGGGCCTTTTCTCGAAAAGTATTTATCTATACGCACGATTCTCAGACAGACGAAACATTTTCCCACAATATTATATTGATAAAACAGAGTCACCGCTGTTTTTGGAAATTATCCAATCTTACATGTAGACGTATTAACTATTGTTGAGCTTATAATTAATTAATATTTCCGAGCAGCTGCACGCATTTACATATTTTTTAAACGTTTTTTAAACATCAAAGATACGTGCTTGCATATCGGAAACAAAGATCTTTGACGTGCCATTAAAGAAAAACCTTCAAAAATCTCAACAGCAAGTTTGAAAACAAATAATCATCAAATGGATGGCTTTATTGTTGCAATCGATATTCTGGGCGCAAAACGATATAATTGTTGAAAATATTGTAAAACTGATCTTCGGATTGATAGGAATGCAACTGCCTGAAAAATACAACGAGTTCGACGGCGAGCGAAGGCCCTTTTAACTTCCCGACAAAGAACCTTTGTATTTGTATTTAAACTTTCAGTTTCCGTGGAATCATCAGTAGGCCTACCAAATTACATTACATGTCTGTCAGATGTTGGAATCCTAGGTAGCGGCGCTTCCTTCAAGTGCCTGCAACCCTAGCCTTGGTCAGAAGATCTTATGCATGTTTTAAGTAAGGTAGAAAATTTCAAGAACTCCTTTTTCAAATGCCAGAACTTCCTTTTCAAAGGCCAGAACTCCCTTTTCAAATGCCAGAACTCAGTTTTCAAATGCCAGAACTCCGTTTTCAAATGCCAAAAATCAGTTTTCAAATGCCAGAACTCCGTTTTCAAATGCCAGAACTCCGTTTTCAAATGCCAGAACTCAGTTTTCAAATGCAAGAACTCCGTTTTCAAATGCCAGAACTCCGTTTTCAAATGTCAGAACTCCGTTTTCAAATGCCAGAACTCCGTTTTCAAATGCCAGAACTCCGTTTTCAAATGCCAAAACTCAGTTTTCAAATGGTAGTGCCAGAACACAGTTTTCAAATGCCAGAACGCCCTTTTCAAATGCCAAAACTCAGTTTTCAAATGCCAGAACTCCGTTTTCAAATGCCAGAACTCCGTTTTCAAATGCCAGAACTCCGTTTTCAAATCAGTGCCAAAACTCAGTTTTCAAATGCCAAAACTCCCTTTACAAATGCCAAAACTCAGTTTTCAAATGCCAAAACTCAGTTTTCAAATGCCAAAACTCAGTTTCAAATGCCAAAACTCAGTTTTCAAATGCCAAAACTCCCTTTTCAAATGGCAAAACTCAGTTTTCAAATGCCCGAACTTTCTTTTCAAATGCCCGAGCTCCGGCGGTTTTCAAATACCAGAACTCAGTTCTCAAATGCCAAAACTCCCTTTTCAAATGCCAAAACTCAGTTTTCAAATGCCAAAACTCCGTTTTCAAATGCCAAAACTCAGTTTTCAAATGCCAGAACACCCTTTTCAAATGCCAGAACACCCTTTTCAAATGCCAGAACTCCGTTTTCAAATGCCAGTCACTTTTCCGGGGGGGCGAAGCCTTCCAAATTTCCGACAAAACTTTCAAATTTCCGAACCCCCCCCCCCATTTGCACTCGAAAAGGCTGTTTTTAGCCCTTTTATAGGTTAAAATTTCCGACAATTCGTCATTTTCCACGAAGATTTCCGCCACTGAATCTGTACGCAGCTTGGGGAGAAATAGTTTATTCTCAATGTCTCTCAAGCTCAGTAAGGACTGGTGTGCGGAGTAAATAGATCTTGTAGATATTGAGATACAATCTTATTATAAAGGTTTTGTACATAGATAATTTGTGCCAATTTAACACTTCTAATAGAGAGTTCGAAGAGCTTTCATATCCACATTCAGCAACACGATTTTGTAGTTTTTGTATAATTTGCATGCTGCTCAACTAACTGGCCTAACATGCTGGCTTAACTAAATTAAGCCGGTCTCTGTTCATGGGCTTTTTCCGCAAGTATCCCTGGATATAAATCGCCTCGTTTAAGAGCAGCAATTCCTGAAGATATTTTTTACAAATACTTCATTTATAGCATTACTTAATACGATTCTTCTATGCAGGGACGCCGAGAGCTTGGCGTGGGCCCGGGGCAAATTTTTTTAGGGGCCCCTATTTCAATTTTTTCCCGGAAACAAATTTTCCGGACGAGTACGTTGTAATTGCTTTCCAGCGACTTTACCTCCAGTTTTCATACCAAATTTCGGTACTTTGCTTGAAAACAACAAATATCTTGCGCTTGGCGCGGAAATATTTCATCCAAAAACAATGACTGGGCCCCAACCAAAAAGTTCTAGGGGGCCCCCAGAACCTGGGGGCCGGGGCAATTTGCCCCCCCCCCCCTCTCGGCGGCCCTGCTTCTAGGTTAAGTTTTCATCAATGATTACACCTAATGATTTCGTATGCTGAACTTGTTTGATTTGACAATCGCGGCGTTCCCCGAGCCTACGATCCTCGAGAAGGAACGTGAGGCTCTGGGATAATCCATTACCGGAAGCCAGGTCGGATTCCTGGCTAAGACCGAACTGCGCATTCCATATCAACGGCCAATCAGATTCCTCCCTGAAACGGATTATCCCTGAGCCTCACGTTCCTTTCCGAGGATCGCAGGCTTCGGGGAACGAGATTGGTGTGAGTGTTATCAACACAAATATTAAGATTAGGCCCTTCGCTCGAAACGTCGTAGTTCTCCTTGTATTTTTCAGGTATTGCATCCCTATCCATCCGAAGCTTTATTATTTTTGCCACTACCTACAGTGACACAAGATCGTTGAAGATTAAAAATATTATAGCTCAGACAAGTATTTTAAAAAGAGCCATCAAAGTTCAAACCATTTGTAGTTTATAAGGGAAATTTTATTTGCGATTTTAAGAATTCTTTCATTTTACCGACTATATTTTCCGATTTGCCACAGATATGTAGAATCCGAAACGTTTTAGCATCGAATTCTCTACAGAAACGCACAAGTTGTAACAAACCTGCAGCAGACTTGTAGCAATGCTGTTCCAACAACTTGTCAACAGGATGTGTTCGCACTGCTTGTTCCCAGCTTGTTGACAAGTTGTCAACGGAGCCGTTGACAACTTGCTACAAGGTTGTTGAGCTCAACAGACTTGTTACAAGTTGTTCCAACAACTTGTTATCGTCCTGCAATTCAACAATTTGTCAACGAGTTGTAAATGACAGCCTTGTAGCAACTTGATAATATAACAGCATTGTTACAACTTGTTGACAAGCTTGCTACAAGCCTGTTGCGAAACATCTTGTTGACAATTATATTTGTGGTGTTACTCTGAGTGTATATCCACACCGGGCGAGCTTGAAAAATATGCCCGGCCACGGTGGGATTCGAACCTACGACCTTTGGAAAACTATCCCAATGCTCTTCCAACTGAGCTACGTGGTCAGGACGGTTCGAGTAAGTGATATTTCGGAACAGAATCTAGTTCCTTCGATACCAATGTATTCTAGTAATATGAATTTTTTTTCTTTCTGTGGGCTAGCGCTAGTTTTCCAAAGGACGTAGGTTCGAATCCCACCGTGGCCGGGCATATTTTTCAAGCTCGCCCGGTGTGGATATACACTCAGAGTAACACCACAAACATCATATTCACCTGAGTACACTACACCAACACAGAAAAAAAAAAAATCTTGTTGACAAGTTGTGACTTGTGAGTTTTTACGTGCAGTAATGAAAACCAGATTTCATTAATTATTTTATCACGTACTGATCTGGTCAAATACTTTATTGTTTTACGCTTCTTGTATTTAGTAATATAGAATGTTTGTATATCAAATTAAGGTAAATATACTGTATAAAACATGCGAAGTCATTTAGCTAGGAGCTTGTTCCACCTCCGTGTTGTAAGTCAGTAAATGAAACAGATCGTCCAGTAACGTCACTAATTTCATCTGATAAAAGTTTATGTAACGAAACTCCATTATGACGATAGATCCAACAACTAGATTCTGTGAAGTCGTATCTTTTCGGACCACTAGAAATAAAGGACATAAAATTTAACAAATTTCAAATCAGACCAGGGGGATCTACCGTAGGGGTTCAGAGGGATGGGCACCCCACCTGGGGGTGGGCACCCCACCTATAGTGGTGTCTAGAACTCCCCTAGGAGAAGTCCAGCACCAGCATAAACACATCTGCTTGACCATACATTTTCTGCTTTTTGAATAGCGATTAGGGAACTTCTACTGTCAGCGTGTGTCGATTTTTTGAAACGATTTAATTGATTTGTGAGCTCACGAGAAAATACTCAGAATGCTTTAGTTAAATATCATGGTTACATATGTGAATATGTCGAGGTTGCTATACAGCCATAATTTCAAATATGCTGTACTTTAACAAACAAATTTACTGCAATGTGATACAGCAACTGTCCAGTCACGCATACGTGATAAAAATCCGATATAAACTTTAAAAACAAAAGATAATGTAAAGCGTAACAGAACGGCAAGCATGCAGATTCAGCCATCTCAAATAATGGTAATGTTTGGATAGTAGTGTTGCAGACTGCAGAGGAGAGTGGGCAGCAAGGCTCCCTCATGCACCGCCCCATGGAAAACCTGCACCCCTCCTTGCAGGTGAGGCTAGATCCCCCTGAATAAAACTGTCATTACTTGAAAGTAGATAGTTTTGTGTCAATAACGTTGGGTCCGGCCAGATGATTTTGCTCGTGAATCCTCGAAGGGGATGTGTTAAGAGTGTGAATTAACCAGATTCCTATGTTTCTTATCAAATATTAATCTATGACAGAATTTGACCTGTTTATAGGGGAACAGGATTGGATGTTAATGGTTTAAGGTAGCAAGCTCTATACTGTACCTCGTTGGAGATGACAGCCATATCTGTTTGTTTGGAGTTTGTTTGTTTATGACATAAGTTCCATGATTTTCTAAATATAATAATGGCAGTAAGAATCTTTGCAATTCACAGCTTCCTACGAGCACTTGTAATCTAAACGTGAGCTGAACACTCCAATAGGCTATACGTTTATACTGTAGCGGATAGCTTTCCGTAGCGACGTGAAAAAACACCTATCCTTACCTTTTAGGAACGCTATTTTCATAGGAATTATTGCAACGGAGAGATGTTGTTTCGCTCAGCTTCCGAAAGTTGTACAGTCCGTATCGGATAGGTGATTTTTCGCGCCGCAATGGAAATCTATCCCGTATAGTGTTAACTAGCCTCAGTCTCAAACTCTAATTATGAATATGATTGTGAGATATTTTCTATTACAATTTACAATCACAATACCTCCTAATCTTATTGTCAAAACACCATCCTATACAGAGAAAATGAGACTATAGGTAAATGTTTAATCAAGAGCATACGAATAAACACCATGATCACTGCCAGAAACCCCCCAGTAGGACTCTTTTTTCCCCCCTTCGGCATATTTATAAAAACCAGTTTCATATTTATTCTGACTTCGTTGCCTAAAAACATTTTCGTTTTACTCTGTAGTGTCAGAATAAATATCAATCTTTTTCATATCTTTATGGATGGTTCTGAAAACAAATATTAAACTCCAAAAAATTGGCTTCGTAACATGCATTGCATAGGTATACAATCATCAACACCAATATAGAATCACTGAACATAGAATGATAGGAGTCGTGTGAATGTAGTGTCGTGGTTGGGAGAGTCGGGTTCAATCCTTGGTCGGACCTTTACTTAAGGTAAATAATTGGGGAGAAAGAGCTACCTTTACATTGACATCAGTAAATGGTTAGACTTTCGCGTCTTCTCGGATAAGGACGTTAAATCATGGGTACCTCGGATCCCTTCTGAATTGGATAATAGCCTGTTGAGAAATCCACTCAATAGAATCTGTAATATATCAACTACAAATGAACATTTTTCACTATGCTTACAGAATATTCAATATCATAATCCTGATCAAAATAGCCAAGGTCCCCCAGCTCTTCAAAATATTCCATTAGAACATTTAGCGTTTCATCTGAGATCGTGTGAAATGTTATCTCATCTAGTTCCCTAGAATATATTAAATATGTTGGTTAAGAATTATAGTAATGCCCAAAACTAACTAGCCTATCACAGAGTATAGCCCTCGCTGTTTATGAATGCTGACTCTATAAATCCTTACACTAGCTAACCGTTGAACCTATCTAATAAATGTGCAAGCCTGCGTGGCTTCAATATGGCTTCAACAGTGAATTATACAACGCGACGTTGTTGATCGCAAAATCTGAGAATAAAGTAGGTCGTTTGCAGCTTGCCTCAATCACTGGCTGCCAAACAAAGTCTGTCGAAGCATTTAGTGAAATGTTGGCCTGATTTCAGTTACTGCCTAAATTCTGCATTTTCAATATTTGTACAGAGGTTAGTTTTTACGAAATTTGTCTATTTAATTCTTTATGAGAATACCACACTACTGCCACTATGAACAAACGAAAATGCAGAATAGACAGTAACTTACACCAGGCAAACATTACATTAAATATTTCAACAAACTTTGTTCTGCTACCAGCAAATGACCTACCTCATCTTCTGATTTTAAGATTTACAGCATCGCGTAATATAATGTGCTACAGAAGCCATATTTCAAAGGTTATGCTCGATGATATACGAATTAGTAAGGAATTATAATAATCATGTCCGTTATTTCTGGTCATAGACGTTCAGAACTTCAAACGACTGTTTATTATCAAACGACTGTTTATTAATAGATTACTTTAATTTGGGAATTTTGCGTACCTAATTTTATTTGTACAGTAATGTCTTTCATAGTTATATAAAGTACTGCTGTATTTCTTGTATTGTTCGTATGATCTTGATATTTCACAGTTTATTCGAGCAGTTGTTCTTGTAGACGAAGTAAAATGTGCTGCTTGAGGTTGGCACTAAAATTACAAAATAAATCTATTGGATATCATGAAAAGAATGCCGAATTCATAAATTTAGAGCAATAAGATACCTTTAAAACAAAAGCTGGTCTATTTTTTCGCAAAAGCCAAGGAGAAACTCTTAAATTTGTAAAATGTTTCGTGATTATTCGACCGATAACTCCTTTGCAAGCCGCCATATTGTTTTTTTATTTGCTTCCGGCTTGTTTTTCTTGCGTTCTGATTGGACAATTTGCTTTGTATCAACCACAGCGTACCCAAGAAAAAATGGTTGTAAATGGCTCGTACCGTCGTTTGCATCTAAGCATGGACAACTGATTCGCAAACATTGGGGGTACGTCCAACCATTTATGAACAGGCTTTGCATGTGGTTGGTTCACTGTGACAGTTCAGTGTGGTCCACAATGAACTACTGAAATCTGTTTCCATACAGCGTACATTAGCGTCACCTCAGTATATACACAGGGACGCTGTAACGCCTGAAAAGGCAAAGGGGGGGGGGGGGCAAACGCACACCAAAGGGGCACCTCTATAGATCCCGGTGAAGATATAAACCTACAATTATGTGTTGACTTGCCAATGAAAGCAAACGCACTTAATCAGGTCACATTCAAGATCACGCCTCATGATTTTGCCCAAAAAGCATCAAAATGTGATTTATCAGGTAGTATTTTACAACTCAAAGGGCACTTCTGCCCCCCCCCTTGCCCCTCCTAGTTAAAGGCAAGAGGGGCAGCTGCCCCTCCTGCCCCCAGTTCCGGCGTCCCTGTATATACACATGAACTTGTGGTTAGAGCTCGACAACTGTCTCTCTGTAGCTCATTTGGTTAGAACGCTGCACCGGAATCGCTGAGTCACAGGTTCAATTCCTGTCACAAGGACTATAGTTACATTTCTCGCAACTGCCCCTGGTTAATTTCCTGGTTAGGTCTAATAGTAATAAATGTATTTATTATATGGATATGAGTAAAATACCGTAAAATACGCCACTGATGTTTTCCGTATTTCACTATAGTGAAATATGAAATCATATCTTACGCGGGAACGTCTCGCGCGGGACCCACGCTAATTCCCGCCATTTTGCCGTTTCTGTTTTGAATATACAATCTTTAATCTTTAATCTTTAATAAAATTATTTAAACACGGTAGCCTGTTCAGCAGATAATATTTACAGCGCTGGTTTTCAAAGGGCCGTGTGTTTACAACAATAATATAAAAAGGACAAAAAGAATATAACTATTTACAATGAATTGATACGGATGAATTAAGTAATTGCCGTTTAAACGACAAAATTGAAAGATTGTTATAATTTTCAATAGTTTCACTTGGAAGTTCGTTCCAGGACTTAGCAGCTCTATACGAGAAACTTCGTTTGAGAAAATTTGTCTTAGGTTTGGGTAAGTTCAATTTAATTTGATTGCTTCTTAGATTGTAATTGTCATTTTGACTTACTGAAAACAATTTTTCAATGTATCGAGGTAATCGACCAGTTAGTACTTTAAATGTCATTATTAACTGTCGTTGTTTTAGAAGTTCTTCTATTGGAAGCCAATTAAGACTATCTAGCGTTTGCATGGAACGAACCTCATATGTGTCCCCTGTTATCACACGCGCTGCTCTCTTCTGCAGTATAAACAATTTATCAATTATCGAACAACATCCATCATTCCAGATTGTTGAACAATAATTGAAATGAGGCCACACTAAGGCATTGTAGATTTTTATTAGACTATCTCTATTGACAAACAATTTTGCTCTTTTCAGCAGGGCGATATTATTTGAAATTGTTTTACATTGCATTTCATTATGTTTATTCCATTTTAGCTGGTCGTCAAGGATCATGCCTAGTGACTTTTTTTGGTAAACTCGCTTAATGTTGTTTCCCCCTAATGTTAGTACTGGGCTATTTTCAATTGAAGCTAAGCGACGTCTTGATCCTATTATCATAAATTCACTCTTTCATATTTAATGAGAGCTTGTTAGCTGTCAACCACCTATGAACATTTTCATTAACAATATGACAACTTCTCGACATTTTGTTGATGTTTTCGACGCTGATTTGGCAAGGTTTTCTGAAGAAAATGAAAACACAAAAAGGAAGACTAATTAGTCCTATTTGGCGATCTTCAGCGACTATTTAGCCTCGATTAGCAAGCGGAGAGACATAAACATTGTTGCCGTACGGTGAGCTACAAAACAAAAAACAAAAATTGAATAAACTAATAAAGTCATACGTTTTGTTGTTTTTGCTTCAACTTTTATCCATATAATAAAAAGAACATTTCACGGTGGCTTTGGAAATATGACTTTTATTTTCTCGTGTTGAAAACAATATTTTTCTCACTCGCTGCGCTCGTTCGTAAAATATTGTTTTCACCACTCGAAAATAAAAGTCATATTTCCGTGCCACCGTGAAATATCCTCTATGTATTAAAATTCCACTCGAAAAATTTCCATAATTCTAATTCAACCAAAAAATCCATAATCCTAATTCAACCATATTGTATTTTCTTAGATTGATGAAGGAAACATATATTCAAGAAATTTTGCCTATAATTTGATCTTTTCACACAGATGAAGAATTTAATACAACCACTCCAGATTCACTAGAAAAGGTACTAAATATATTTCATTTACTATACAAAAGTACAAAAGCTACAGGTTTTTATGAAAACAAATATTTTGTTATTTACATTTTTTGCTACTTGCTTTTTTATTGTCTTTTTCATTAAGGGCCTAAGGCTGACTTACACTATCAAAGTTTCTGTGATCACAGTAGGAATTTTGCCTAGGCAAGTTTTGAATGAAGAATTTGTAAGAAATGTTTGAGGAAACTGACTTAATGTTTAACAACGAGTCAATTCCCTCGAACAGTTCTTACAAACCCTTCAAAACGTGGAATTTACCTAAGCCAAATAGACAATTCCCATTATAGACTATTTTTTATCATATCAAAAAAAGTATATTCCCGGAAAGAGCATACTAAACTTAGTAAAATTGCAAAGTTTTGTTGCGAAATGTTGTAAAATGCGGAAAATATAGCCGTGCAAAGTTCGCAAATTTTGTATACTTTTGTATTGCGTGCGGAAATTGCTACAATGCACATTTGGGCCGAAAATTTGCAAACTTTGCAAGGCTATATTTTCCGCATTTTACAACATTTCGCGACCAAACTTTGCCGTTTTACTCATTTTTGTATGCTCTTTCCGGGAATATACTTTTTTTGCCAATATAAAAAATTAGTCTATAAATATACTGGGATTTATTTGCATCTCCTTGCCTAGTTTTAAAATTAGTCTATATATAATGGGAATTGTCTATTTCTACTGTCTGTGATCGCAGAAACTTTGATAAACCAGCCTTTATACACGCCAATATTTTTTGCACACGATCCGTTGTTCTTGCGTTGTCGTCCGTTATGTTTGCATGCACTCTCTGTATTCTCAAAAGCATAAGTTTTAAACTGTATCAATCGTTATTCCTTGAACTGCCATTCTTGCCTGCACATCGGGCAGAGCTGTTGCATCTGTTGAGAATCCAGCCACTTTAATATACAGTGCATGTGAAATACATGTGAACACTGACCCCACACTGAAACATAAGAAGAATAAACAGTTAAAAATCCTGAACGATCTGTGGCCATGGGGTACACATGCAAAAATTTCACATCTTGTAGCAAGTCTGCCGACAAGCTGTCAACAAGTTGTGTTCGCACTGCTTGTCCCAAATTTTCAACAAGTTTAGAACAAGTTGTTAACGACTTGCAACAATCTTGTTGATATTATCAGACTTGCTGCAAAGTTGTTCCAACAAGTCCGATACAGTCATGATGTAACAATACTGTTACAACCTTGTTGTCGTCAACCTTGTAACATTCTTGTTATATCGTGAGTGTATCAGACTTGTTAGAACAACCTTGCAACAAGTCTGATAATGCCATCAAGGTTGTAACAAGTTGTTAACAGCTTTGGCTTCACATTTCTTATTGGCCGAATGGCTGCAGTTGCTTGCTCCAGGATACAGCTAATTCAATTAAGGTTGTCCTTTCAAATTCAAAACCGCAAAACCTCGACCTCTAAGCGCGTAAGTGCTTTGCGATGTACACTACAGGGTGTCTCAAAAAAACCCAAAATCATTGAAATTGACGTATTGTTCGATATTCAATGCCCTAGCACTAAGTTAATCCCACGAGTGCATAAAAGATTGACATAACTGCTATAATGAATGGTAATACTCATCGTAAACTTGTTATGTCAGGCATAAAGTACTAAACCCACGAATGCATATTACGCATATTACAATTTACGAAGCATTTTTAAATTCCCATGAGCAAACAAACGTTCACTTTACAAAGATATTTTAATTTTTTAAAACAAATTAATCACCCTGTCAAAATCCTTTGTGTTACGGCATTGAAATTCGAACAATACGTTATTTCAATGATTTTGGGTTTTTTTGAGACACCCTGTACAGTATACAGCTATTTCAATTAATATTGTCCCTGAGCAAAGCGGAAAAGTCGAATATAAGCGCGAAAGCCGTACGCGGTTGCTACGTTCCACAAGCCGTTTTGGCATCGGTATTTCCGTTGCTTTTCATCTTTCTCGGATTTTACTTGCTCGTCTAACCCAATTCAACAGCAAACCTGGCAGAATTCATTGGATTTTGTAAACTCTTTAATGTTAAAGAAAGTTGTTTGTACAGTATGATTGTGCTCGACTCCTTTGAGAATTCAATTCACTTGATTAGCATGAATGTGCTGACATAGTAACATGTATATGCATAAACAATCTCATAAAATAATAATGCTTTTCGTGCTTGGTCAAAGGTTTTCGCTTTTCTTGTGGACAACCTTAATTGAATAAGCTGTATATACACAGAGCTCACTGCAAGAAGAAGAGCAACAATTATCCATCACAGTCTCCCGTTACAGTAATACTCATTTGTGATTTGACCCTCTCCTTTATTGATTCCAATCAATTGCCGGATCCGAAAATTGCCGGCGGAAGGGTATACTCTTCATGCCCTCTTCACAAGTGTAAATATCATTCCCATCATTTTTCATAAAATCACAACTGTTAAACTGTTAAATTGACTTGTTAAACCTAACAATCTGTTGTAATTTCGATATTTATGGGCTAAGGAGCTTAAACAGCTGTTCAGTAATTTTCAACTTAAAATATTAAAACATTCATTGTATTGTTTTTTTACAAGTAAGAAGCCATGTGGGTTATTGCACTCATGCATACTAATATCAAGATACAAAATGATCATATATATTCATATCGTTTTCACCGAACCCGGCAAAAGATTATTCAAACTCTGCGCTTATCAATTTATCCAAACGGCTTGAATTAGCCAAACACCTATAATTTCGACACAATTAAATATTTTCCCGAAGAAATTGTGTGGAAATGCCGTACATAGATTAATTACAGCTTTGACAGCTTTTAAGCGTATGACGCCGTATATATATATTCAGTATCACAATTCATTCAGGACTAATTATACGGACAATTGACAACAGCGCCAAATTCATTCTTAGTTTGAAGTGTTCCTATATTGATTGGAGTAATGTTAGAGTGGTCATCTTACGTTTAAAAAGGGTTATTGATATCGCGTTTCATCAATACTCGATAGCAACATGTTTTCGAAAGCTGGACAGACCTATAACAAGACTTTGGTTGTTCTTATAAGCGTATTATTACTCATTTTCATGGGGATTCAATTTAAACACCCGATGTGGTTTCGACATTTTCGAAGCGATGCCACACTTAAAAGACACTGTGTTTCCGAAGACGTCCAAAACGACATGCTTACGTTAACATACGATGTTCATCTAATTCTGAAAGGGCTAAATGTTACACATTTTTTGATATACGGCTCGTTGTGGGGCGCTCTGAGGATTAACAAGCCGTTGCCTTGGGACGATGATGTGGACTTGGGAATGATACCGGACGGAAAATATTCTCGACTTTCCGAAGAGCGCTTCTTAAAAAAATTTCGAGAAAAGGGCATAACGATTACTAACAACATGCGCCAGAAATCGAGTTTTAAATTCGTTCGTGGGAAAGGCGCTGTGGATTTGATGATATACTACGAATATGGCGCTTCGATGAAGCGACGAGGCTGGGAACCGTGGTTGCTGACTGTCCATTATAACTTGCATCATACGTTTCCAAAAGGTTTGATCGAGCACAAGCCGTTGCCGATGACGAGGTTTGGCTGGTTCATGATGCCAGTACCGCAATATGGCATCGAAATTATGAAGCACATGTATCGATATGACTGGTGGATTACTTATAAAGCCGAGTCATGTTGAAATACAACCGCAAAACTAAGACGTCTAACCGCACGCGTAAACTACGGGATCATACACTTACGAGATACTAGGGTTAACTGATTTAAAGTGCCCGTAACCCCAAAATTGATTTTCGGCTTATTAAAAGTATGCTATGAGTGTAGTAGTTTCGCGAAAACATTTTTGCTTTTGGTTAAAAGGCAAAAATTTTAGAGCCACTTTAACCTGCTTATATTGCGATTTTACTTGGCACATGGCCGTCGGAATATTTAACTGCTTGAAGTCTGGAACGAGCATTATTTGTGACGTCACGCGAGTTAGTTGTGGTTTCAGCAGGAGCGCGTTTGTATGTAAATTTCAGTATAACAAGACGCTACACGGAACGTTAACCGATAGGACTATGGAAATATCAACTTTAAAAAATCCGTGTTGTACAAATATATCACTAAAGAAGAGCGTGCTTGCTTGTTCGAAAATATTGATCCATGAAGTTTACAGTTTGCCTGGCAGTTTGCTCAATAATAACAAGTATCGTATTAAATTGCAACGGAACTTAAATTGGCCTGGTGCCCTGGTACTGATGAATGTCTGTATAATAGCGCGTTTGTTCTGTCGAAAAGCTTACCGTTTGCGCTAATAGTCGTTGCATGGTATATTTATGTTCTGTTATGTAAATTTATGTTCTAAAACGCATTCGCTATATTATTTGCATTGGAATCGTAAATCTTGTGTCACTATACTGCCATTTGATATGTGCTTGAGATCTGCGAGTACAATGTATTTGTTGCCAACTCTAACTGTAAGAAATATATGCGTACTTCACAAGAACACTATCCCGTTAAAACACAATACTTTGATCGTGAAATGACTAAAATACTACCGGTTTACAGGTGTGATATCTAGTGATCCCAACTTTGTGGTGACCGAATAGCGCACCAATTTCATTGTAAGATAGTGTAAATTGTCTTGTCATATGATCGGTATCTGGCAATAAAATATTGCCACAGGGACAACTTAAAAGCATAACACAACATATTTTATCCTTGGTGGATCGATCAGCGTAGTGTAAAAACCATGGCAAAGTTTCATAAACCTGTGAAAATGCTCACTAAAAATGATCGTAAAATATAGAGAAGCTGCAGTTTAGTACGCGTGTGACAACAATTGCAAGTGTATCAAAGACCATATAACCCGGCCTAGTTTGAACATAACATACTCAAATTGTAATATTCCTGAAATACGACGATAATAACTTCGAAAGATTTACCATATCACCATGATGATTTTCAGTTCAAAGTTTTAGTGGCAAGACTCGTGTATTTACTTATTTGGTGGTGATATTCAGTAACTCGCGTGACGTCAGAAATTGTGCTAGACCCAGACTCCCGTACACGACGTCCATTGACCAAGCAATCCATAATTCAAGTGGCTCTAAAATGTTTGCTTTTCAACCAAACGCAAAAATTTTTTCGCGATACTGTTCCACTGGTAGCATACTTTTAACAAGCTGAAAATCAATTTTGGGGTTACGGGCACTAAGCCACTGGGGTATAAAAATGAAATTGACTGCCGAAGGCATATGAAACAAGGGTGCGCGCAAGAACACTCTCGCACAAAGGCACCTTAGGCATTTTGAATTATAAGCAGATATACGAATGAATTAACGTCGAAATAATGCCATTTATTGTGTTTCTTTGTCGAATTTGCAGTGTACAAAATGCTTCTATTCGCCGATTAATTTTTGCTCAGATCTGTTGGCGAAAGCGAACTCTATACCTTGTGAATGTTATTGTTTACATATATTATTGACTTAACGAGGGTAATATTGGCTGTTGTCAAAAAAAAATTTAAACTACGTTAATTTAAGATTTAAAAGTACACACGTAAAAATGTCGCAACCTGTTAACAAGATGTGTTCGCAACAGGCTTGTAGCAAGCTTGGGTCGACAAGTTGTGACAATGCTGTTATTTCATCAAGTTGCTACAAGGTTGTCGCTCACTCACAACTTGTTGAGAAATTGTTGAATTGGAACAACTTGTAACAAGTCTGTTGAGCTCAACAACCTTGTAGAAAAAGTTCTCGGCAAGCCGTTGAGAACTTGTCAACAAGCTGGGAACAAGCAGTGCGAACACATCCTGTTGGCAAGTTGTTGGAACAGCATTGCTACAAGTCTGCTGCAGGTTTGTTTTAACTTATGCGTTTTTACTTGCGTAGAGTATGCGCTATACCGTTTTCACTTTTTTAATCTTTGGAGAAAAATACCGTGCATGTTCCCAAATAATATTGTGAATACGTTTCACATAAATACATAATAGACATAATATGTACAAAAATTGCCCCGTTACATGACCTTTCCTCCAATGACGTAGTGAAATTATTCGGGAATGACAATCTGCACGTTATATGACCAGCCAAGCGATTTAAAACAATTAAAAGGTTCTAAAATGTTATTCTCAAATGTGTGATCCAATTATGTAGGCAGTTGTCTATGGACTATAATATGTTAGCTTTGTGTTAAAAATACTTTAAATCTCTATATGTCAAATTCTCATCCCGAAATGTCCGCGCAAAGCCCTCTATGACTCTAATATTGCCTTTGCTGCCCTGCATGTCGTGTGAAAATGGGGAACCAACAGCATTCCCTTGATCAAGCATGCCAAGTCATTGTCATTATCTTGCTATTTTCAAGTGTTTAGCTTCCTGAGGCGAGGAGGTTATGCATGAATCATTTCAATGTAAACATCCCTTGATATGCAAAGAATTTGGTTGCACTATTAGCAGTCAAGTTGCTACGAACTTCTAGACGAATTGTTTGCTTGCAAATGATGATGTAAAGCTTTAATTAATAATAAGCCACCTTAAGTAAAAAAATACAGTGGACTTGCAAATTCATAAACATTATAAAACCATCTATATTACAATAAAAATTTGTATTTTTAAAAAGGTTCAGTTGCCAAAGGCACAGACGACGATTATATGTCCTTCAGTTCAGAGAATAATGCAACCTACATTCAGCCTAAAATTACAGAACCATTACAGTAGTAATTTAAAGTTTATTATTAAAAAGTTTAACTTCACGAGGCATAAACGATGATTTATGTCTTTCGGTTCTGGAAATAATGCGACCTACATTAGAACTTCTTTCTTAGTTCTGGTGGAATAGTCGTGCTTCTGTGCGATAGGGACAAGGTGGTGACAGGGATGGTTTACATCCTGAGTAATTGCCTCCATTTCTCGAAGAGTTAGCTTATCTCTTCTCTTGACCTATTCTTAACTTATAGTGGATTTGTCAGGGCAGATTTACACTACACAACTTTTGCCTAAAACTGTCGCATGTACGGTAATCTGCTTACACAGGGTTCGTAGTCTCCAATTGAAGGGCCGGTTGTTCAAAAGCTGATTGGCTTAATCCTAGGTTAACGCAAATTTCAAAGCAATCTTGTTTAGAAACATGAAGATAGTTTTCCAAAATTCATGTCTGGATCAATAGAAGTTTTATTTTCCAAAATTTTGAAATAAACAGATGTGCAAATGTTCCCAAATTAAAACAGCGGGTTAAATTTTAACCCAGGGTTAGCTCTAACCAAGCTTTGAACAATCAGCCCCAAGACCAAAAAAATCAAAGACTTTCAAAGATTTTTTCTGCCTATTTTGAAAGACTTTTCAAGGACCTTTGAGTCATTGAGAGCAATCAGCTGTCGAAAAATTGCGAATGTAAGCACCATATTTACCCAGTAATTAGTCCCGTCAAATCACATCCTAAAATGCACCTTTTCGTCGATATTCAGTTGCGAAAATCTTGCTTCAATCAATCTATTTTATTAGCTAGGAAATCGTATAATCAAATACTCACTAAAGAATTTAAAGACTTTTAAAGACTTTCTTCGCTTTTTCACACAATTCAAAGACTTTTCAAAGACCATAAAGACCTGCATTGAAACTTTAAAGACTTTCAAGGATTTCAAAGACCGCTACGAACCCTGTAATACAACTTGAGTTCATGTGCTTGTTTTACACAGTACAACAGTACAACTCAAGTTGTAAGCAGGTTCCATGCGACAGTCTTAGGCAAAAGTTGACAAGTTGGGTAGTGTAAATTGGCTTTAAATCGGTCTTAAGTGTTCAACAACGAGTCTTTACTACCATATACGACAGCATAAAACACTGTGTTGGGTGGGCGCGAAACGTGTTTTATCGGTGTTTATAACATTAATTTAAAGGCTAGTTTCCACTCAGGAAAATTATCCGTGGATTGGAAGTTTGGAACGGACAAGAAAATTTTTCCTTGTCTTGTGAGCTCTGGGTTGGAACTAATGACTTTAACACAAATCCGGGGGAATTTTCTTGTCCGTTCCAATCCACGGATAATTTTCCTGAGTGGAAACTAGCCTTTAGGGGGTGCAAAATAAATGGTCATTATGCCATTAAGCCATGTGTGGCTAGCCATGGCAACTGGTCATGATGCTATATCGATAGATAAACTTGCATCTACGTCAGTTAAAGACAATACATTTCTAAAGGTTTGGTTAAATGTGAATCATTAAAAATTTCCATAGCACCTGTTGCCATGGCCACTCAATTTAACTATCTTTGATGGAGTTCGATTCAAACGGTGATTTTCAGCCTTGGTACCAAATTTCTTTCACTCTTGGTTGGTACCAGCTTCAGTATCCACCATACACAAATTAACAAATAGATAAGATTTTGCCTGTTCAGTTTACAGTGTGACGTCATAATGTGGGAAGGACAAAAAAAGTGGCTCACGAGCTGCCCAGGTGAGTGGGTCACTTTATTGTCCTTCCCACATTATAACGTCATACTGTGTATCTATATAACTGAATAGACAGCGGCAAAATCTTATCTATTTGTTTTATATAATAAAAAGAAAAACCCTCGAATTAAACTGGTAAATAGCTTACTTTTTATCCACCCAAACATTTGGAATTTGAAAAAGTCCAAATTTTACAAATATCACGCACGTACATGATCTATACAAATAAGGGGAATGCTACTAATTTGGCTACCTTAATTGTGAAAAGAAAAAAGCGCTTGAACTCTTAATAGACTTTCCCCTTATAACCAAAATTTTGATCTAGGCAAGTCTAGACAAATATTTCATCACAGCTTGAAAGAGCGTCACAAAATTAGTAATATTCCAAAGTTTCGTTGCGAAATGTTGTAAAATGCGGATAATATAGCCTTGCGAAGTTTGCAATTTTCAGTCATTTTGCATTAGGCCACATAAAAAAAATTACTTGTTTAGCGTCCACCCATTTTAATTTTCCTAGGTCGGGCGGGCGGATTTTTTTTTTTTTTTCGTAAAATGCAACACAAAATTCTGCTAAATGCAGGAAATCCAGTATATTACCACAGTCAAAACTCACTTTAATTCTTTCAAAATCCGTTCATGTTTTTTAATACCGTTCATGTTTTTAATAAAACAGAAATGATTACCGTTTGGCGGTCACGCGCGAACACTTTAGCTGCGAGGAAGGAGTAAACGTATTACATAGCTCCCAGAAGAATAAAATCACCATTTTTTCCAAGTAAAACGGTCTTTTTTATAGAGAGTTTTTGCATTCATTTTCCCAGAATAATGAAATCATGCGTACTACTAGGACAACACACGTAAAAATCTCACAACTTGTCAACAAGATGTGTTCGCAAGAGGCTTGTAGCAAGCTTGTCAACCAGTTGTAACAATATTATTTTATCAAGTTGCTACAAGCTTGTCACTCACAACTTGTTGACAAGTTGTCGAATTGCAGGACGATAACAAGTTGTTGGACAACTTGTAACAAGTCTGTTGAGCTCAACAACCTTGTAGCAAGTTACCAACAAGCCGCTGACAAACTTGTCAACAAGCTGGGAACAAGCAGTGCGAACACATCCTGTTGACAAGTTGTTGGAACAGCATTGCTACAAGTCTGCTACAGGTTTGTTACAACTTGTGTGTTTTTACGTGTGTAGGCTGATATCAACAGTATCTGAAACTTTTCTGTTGCCATAGTACTAGCTAAAAATCAATTTTTCAAATTAAAATATTAAATATTGACATTTATTCTGAGAAAATTTTCCATTTTAATTGTTTGGAGAAAATCTCATTCATACCTCAGTGTTAAAAATTGGAAAGTTATTTCAGCTAATCAAATACTTACACAGTGACTTTTGTTAGCTAGCTTGTACAAATATTGACACTTTAATCCATTCAGCATCAGTGCCCTCGCCTCGATGAGTAAAATCGTCCAGACTCCAGTGTTAGAAAGAGTTGAAATAATAAAGTATGGCATATTATGATGCAATGCAACTTTAACCCCTTAAGTGCCCTGATGCACCCCATTTTACTATTTATTTATTTATTTAGCTTCACCAATAGTTTAAGCTTGCAATTTACAACTTTTCCTGTGATAAGGTACTTCACTGATCACAGACATGACTTATTGAAATTTGGCTGTTTGCAGTAGCCGAAAATTAATGGCAAACTGGGTTGACACAACAGATTATAATTGTACTTTTAACAAATTCATTGTTGCCATTATTGTAACCAACTATCGATACTCTTCAGCCGAAGCTGGAAAAAAGCACCACAACTCTGGTTCCAACTCGGGTTGACCAAAAAACGAGCTTCGGCAGAACTCTGGCCTCCGGCACTATAGCTCAGATATAACAAATCTAAACCCTTAAAAAAATATGGGTAGAGTATAAACATTACCTAAAGGGCAGTCGTCTCCTGGCATTCTGCAATCAGGACAACATCCATCAAATGCCATCCTACATATACCACAATTGTCATCATTTGCTATCCAGTGCCAGCTTGCGACTCCTGTCCACCTAGGCAGGAATACATCACTGATGGACGTTGCGACTTAATCTAACAACCAGACATAGTACTAATGTGTGGTGCCCTAGGCTACGTGCAAAACAAGCATGAAGTCATACTATATTTGTCTGCTGAGACATACTGCAGAAGAGAGCTCTAAGAATAATCTACCAATGGATGCCTTACACAGATTCCCTTGAAGAAAATGGTCTGCCTCGCCTCTTCGAACACAGACAGCTCTTGAAGTGCAAGTTGTTTGATGAGATCACTAGAAATTTGCTGTCAAATTGAACTTTTATGCCAACCTAAGATTAAGCTAACCATGCAGCTCTAATCTAGCCTTCTCTGCAGGACTCTGTGAATGCATGCCAGAAGTATAAGCCTCAGTACGGAACTAAACAGGCTAGTCTAATCCTTCATAAAACAATTTCACCAAATGAAATGTCTGTTTGTATATTTTGATAACTATACTCGTAGAGAATTAAGTTATGTCACACTTACTCTTCAGATAATTTCAAACAATTTTCAAAAAGTACATAAAAAGAAATAAGCAAACAATATAAATGAATGAAATTACTTATACAAAAATTACTCCACTTGAGTAAAATTAGATAAAAGTCGTTTTATATTCACTGTGGTTATTGTTCCGACACCAGAACTTTAAGATATATGGCTATATATAGATCCGACAAAAGTGTTTTCCATGTTCTTTAAAATGATATCAAATAGATTTCAGTTGATTTCAAGCAATTTCTAGGTAGTCAAATGGTTAAGGCACTTGCCTAAGGGACGGACCATTAGAAAAGTGATTTTGGGGGGGGGGGGACTTTTTCAACTTGTATGAATATTTTTTCAACATTTTTTGCTTGTGTCGATAATTTTTTTAAAATAATATAATCCCTTGCTCGAATTTTTTTTGTATTTCAACTTATAATTTTCCCTGTTGAAAAGTCTCTGCACGAATTTTTTTTTCAAACTTTTTTGATGCACGAAAAAAATTTTTCTTTCTGTTTCCCCTGCTTGATTTTTATTTTTGCTTCCCTCCCCCCATCACTTTTCTAATGGTCCGCCCCTAATTGCATGCGGTATCATCTGGATCAAATCTGGGAGTGAATTAAGTGCATGCATGTGTAAGAGTTCTTATACCTGCAAACAAGTGGCCAGCCGAGAATGGTTAGGATAAGAACCGGTAACTAGGGTTAGAGTGCAGGGGCCGGTTGTTCAAGGCTCGATTAGCGCCAACCCTGGGTTAAATTTTAATAACCTGTTGTTTTTGTTTATGTATTTCTGCATGATTATTTATTTCAAAACTTTAGGAAATAAAACCTCTATTGAACCAGAAAAGATTTCTGGAGAAACATATTCAACTTGATTGACGAGCTGTTGGAAAATCTAATTTGTAGATTTGTGTTAACCTAGGGTTAGGCTAACCGACTTTTGAACAACCGGCCCCAGGGCAGGTTCATAAAAAAATATTGTCCATAAAAACGTGAATATTGTATGTATGCATGCGTATATGTCAGATCAATAGCCATAGAACTTAGACACAGAATAAAGACATACAGAAGTGTATCTTCTTATTAAAAGTGCGTAAGGGATTTTTTCAGTCCGCCATGTTCTTAGCAAGTGCCCTAAAGAGAGGCAGTCACTCCCCTGAAAACATATTGAAAATTTAATATTCCAGGGGGGTGAATGCCTCTCTTTAGGGCACTTGCTAAGAACATGGCCGCCAGCTATTTCGGTAAAAAGCGCCTTACGGTGTTGTAATGGAAGTTACACTTCTGTATGTCTTTATTCTGTGACTTAGAGTTCCTGTGTTAGATGAATAACCACAGCATTGACAAAGACAGTCCAGGTAGGGAGTCACCCATTAGTACACAAGAAATTGGGGGGGGGGGGCGAGGGAGTCAAAATTTCACACTTTCAAAAATCGTCATGTACATACTAGATTTAGTGTGACTCCAAAGTTTAGTCATAAACTATATGGAGTTGCTCAAAAATTCCATAATAAATCGCAATTTGGATAGGTGCTACTGTAGTTGACAGTTGACAATGACTATCACAAAAATATAAATACACTTATGGAGACTGGGTACCTCTACTATAAATCTCTAATATTTATTATAGAACTGTAATATTACTGTGAACACTTACTCTTTATTTTAACTTTCATTATGTTTTAATAATTTAATCCTTCAAGTTCCTTCGAGCAAACAAATAAACAAAATTCTGACACTGTGTGTATATAAAATTTCAGATATGCTCTGTTGACGAAGAATGATACTTCATGTTGGCGTAATATAATGGCTCGCACTGAAATTCACGCGCTTTAGGTAAAATTTAAAAATATTTTTGTTTTCTCTCAAGACTATTTTTTAAGTATGATATACAGGCCCAGATTGTCGCACAGCTAATTACTAATAGGCATAAAAACTCAATTACATAGATGAATTTTGACATGAAGATTATTAAAATTGGTATAGTATAGCCTAGTATAGAACCAATGTTATGACTAATGGTTGACTGGTTGTTTTATTCAATAAGGAGTCATCAGACGCGTCATCAAGCCTAAAAATTGATTGTCTTGACGATTTCAATCATTTATCCGTTAGGTGATACAACTTTTTAGGGTTTTTTTTCAGCT